GACTTAGTGGGGAAGTAATTTAAATACGTTTTTTAAATCCACGAGGAAAGATTTAATTTAGGTGGTTTTTACACTTTTAAATTTATCCTGAGCAACTACGTCTTGGTCAATAATTTAAGAAAAAATCAGTGTAAAACCTGAAAATGTGATGAGTAAGGTTGAAGCTATTAACAGAGTGCAGGAGACGATGGGAATGAACTGCAGGTGGGGCTCTGAACCTCCACCCATAAGTAACCTTTACATCCAAATGTTTATGTTTTAGTGCTTGAAATATTAAAAATGCCATCGATTTTATTCCCAGGGAGGTGGTGGGAAAATACTCAGTAGCTGGACCTGTTTCAAATCTGAACTTAATTCTCTGTCTTTGGAAATAAGGTATGCCAAGGAGGAAAGAACACAACAAAGAAAATGTTAACACTGACTTGGCTTCGGTGTCGATCTCACATTGGCAGCATCTCTGGCTAAGCCAGGCTTGTTGACCTGAAAGTAGTAAGGAAAAGGGGGGTAGAATGTGGAGAGGAGGGAGCATTGTATCAAAAATGCCAGCATCTGATTTCAAGATGGAGTAACAGTAGGTGCTGATTATAGGCTTTTCCTGAATTTGTTTATGGTGTATTTTGTTGTGTGTTTTGTTTTTGTTTTTTTTTACTCCTGGTGTGATCCATTCAGCCTCTGAAGCTAAAAGGTCTAAGGCTGACTGGAAGGTTTAGTTAACAGCATGGTGATAAACTTAATTCTTCCAATCTCCTGATTTCCTCTTGTCTCAGAATGAACCTTGCTTCTTCCTGGTGGGTTTTCAATAGGAAAGAGTGGAGGAAAAAAAAAAAGAGATGGGCAGAATCATCTGTTCTCTTGCTATTTCACTTGCTAATCAGAATTGTTTCTACTCATCAGTCTTACTCCACTGATTAATCTAATATTTGTCTTGTTAATGAGGCAAGACCTCAACATGCTACCCCATTTGCATTGAGAGATCTTTTTCTTTGGTATATTCTAGCCCTTTGGGTTTTTAGCTGTTACCATCTCTTCCTAACTTTTAGTTTTAACTCATCCATAAAACTGGGAAGAAACAGTTGTTTTTTCCTTTTCTTTTCTTTTTGCTTTCTGTGCAGTATTCCTGCCTGTTTTCAATACTAAACAGTAGTCTGCTGTTTAACTGTAAATGTCAAGCTGAGAAAGCTTATCTTACCAGGGGACAGGAATAATACTATATAAATTCTGATAAAAAAAGTTATACAAATAAGCAGATGTTCTCAAAATGTAGTTCTGCCTGATTTTTCTGCATAATCTGCAGCAGTCGTGCAACTGCTGACATTTATTGGGGTCTTTAGGTCATCCCAATAACCCCTACTTATCTTTTTACTTCTCTTCATCTTTTCACTCAGGCTTCTCTCCCTTTTGCTGCAGCAGCATATGCTTCTCATGGCACTACTGTCGTTTCTTGAAAAGCATACA